AATGAGCAAATAATATTTCTTCAGTTATTTTTGTCTGTTCTGGTGATATTTTATACATTTTGTAGTTATTTTTAATTATATCGATAATGATATCTTTTAGTTTTTTAGATTGCAAAATTTCTTACAGTATCCCTCCCTCTCCTCCTTGCAGAGAGCTATCCCATAAAACAAAGAATATTTTTTTAAAGAAAAAAAATGGAAAGAAACAAAGAAAAATCAGCAAAACTCTTACATATTGGAAAAAGTCTGAAAATGTGTACAATAATCCATACCTATGGACCTCTGATGTGACAAGTAGTGGGGGGTGCGTCTTTACTGTTCTTTGTAATTTTGCATCATTCATCTTTAGTGGTTTTGAAGTTTTTCTTACCATTTACATTGTTGAAGTCATTGTACATGTGGTTTTCCTGGTTCTGGTTACTTCATTTTGTATTCATGTAAGTCTTTCCATTCTTCTTTGTATTCATCATACTCTCCTAATACTCCATTTATGTACTGTAATTTGTTTAGCCTTTCCCCAATTGATGAACATCTGTTTCATTTCCATGTCAGTGTCTATGGTGATTTTCTTCATTTCAGTGACATCTTCAGGGTTTATGTCTAGTAGTGGAATTTCTTAGTCAAAAAGTATTGACATTTTAGTCACTTTATTTACATTACTCCAAATTGCTTTCTAGAAGTGTATTACTGATCCACAGCCTATTCTTTTTTTTTTCACTTTAAAAATTTTTTTTAACTAATTAATTTATTTTTAGTTTTCAGCATTCACTTCCACAAGATTTTGAGTTCCAAATTTTCTCCCCATCTCGTCCCTTCCCCCAGCCCAGGATAGCGTGCATTCTGTATACCCTTTCCCCTAATCTGCCCTCCATTCTATCTCTTGCCCCCTTCTCTTATCCCCTTCCCCTTCAATTTTCTTGTAGGGCAGGATAGATTTCTATACTCCATTTAATGTATATCTTATTTCCCAGTTGCATGTGAAAACAATTTTTTTAACATTTGTTTTTAAAACTTTGAGTTCCAAATTTTCTCTCTTCCTCCCTCCCCACCCACCCTCATTGAGAAGGCAAGCAACTCAGTAAAGGTTATACATGTGTAGTCATGCAAAACACTTCCATAGTAGACATGCTGTGAAAAAAAAAGTATATTTCCCTTCAAGCTATCCCACCCCCCATTTATTCTATTCTCTCTTTTGACCCTGTCCCTTCTCAGAAGTGTTTGCTTCTGATGATTTCCTCCCCCAATCTGCCCTCCCTTTTATCATCCCCCTGCTGTCTTGTCCCCTTCCCTCCCTATTTTTTGGTAGGGTAAAATAGATTTCCATACTCAATTGAGTGTGTATGTTGTTCCCTCCTTAAGCCAAATCCAATGAGAATAAGATTCACTCATTCCCTCTCACCTTCCCCCGTTTCCTCTCCACTGTAAAAAGCCTTTTCTTGTTTGTTTTATGTGAGATAATTTACCCCTTTCTACCTCTCTTTCTGTTTCTCCCAGTATAATCCTCTCTCACTCCTTAAATTCTCCAGATATCACCCCTTCATCTTCAACTCACCCTGTGCCCTCTATCTATCTATCTATCTATCTATCTATCTATCTATCTATCTATCT